CCATTTTTTACACAAAAATCAATACAAACTCTCTGCTCCATTATTTTCAACAGCAAAAAATCGCCGAGCACGCAAACACGAGTCTAACTTGTATGCCTCTCACATAAAAACAACACATGCTATATAGTCAAAACTGTGAACATATGATCGTGACGAGTGTACCAACACAACAAAAAAATTTTGAAATTAGAGTGTAGAGCGCGCGAAATTCAAAAAGTCACCTTACTTTTTGATCACACCTCGTATATCGTTATATAAAATTATCTCTTATTAATAGCTATAAACACCAAAATAATAAAAATTAATGTCTGTATACGAATGAAGATAAATAAAGCTTATTTATAAAACTTTGCTGAAAAAATCATTTAAAAAACACTATAGCAATAAATTATTATATGCACACAAAAAAATTATTCTGCCAATAAGCGAAGTAAATTCCTCTTAGCATTCTTCTAATGCCCAAATATTGCACTTCCAGATAAGTTGCGGATAACCTTATTCAGAAGATATTTTCGTTGTATTTTCTAGGAGATATCTCTTGGATAAGGTTATCTAGGAGTAAAGAAATTCGGCACAAGTAACAAATTTTACACGAATCTCACATAGGCGCGTCTATTTATGACATGTATTTATCTATAAGAATGAGGACACATGAACACACACACACTATAATAAAAATAAATTCTTTTATAAAAAATTCCATTATAATAACTTAAATAGTCTTTTGAAAGAACAGGATATACAAGAATGAAAATAATTACTATATGCATTTATTAAAATGATATTTTTATTGATGTGATGATTGAAAACTCGCAACTATAGTATATATTGATGATATATATTAAGCTATAAAATATATTGATAATAACTTGTATTTCTCGTACGACTAATGATTTCCGAAAAAAATGTGAAAATCGCTTTTTTCCTCATTTTTCTCATTTTTTGATGCTTTGTCTTTAATTTTTTGAAATTAAATGTTTTATTCCATTGCAAATATAAAAGACTCTTGAATAGAAAGATAAAGGTAGGTATCACTTTGTCTCGTTAATTAAATGTTATATGTTGCAATAAAATATATTCTTTTTGCAATTTACAAACTACAATAGTATATGTTATATGTTGTAAGAAATTATATTCTTTTTGTAATTGGCGCCATTTAAAGATTTTATTTCATGTTTTTAAAGACATGCATATGTACTACTGAGGGGTAATTTATAACAAAAAAATTAACAATATTACCACTTGAATTATAATATTTATGTAACGGTTTTTTTTTTAATTTATGTATCAGTTTTTTTATGGGAGGTACATGCACACTTGGCACCTTTTTTTTACCTTTTTTTAAAAAGGTAATTTTGTTAAGATTTCACGCATTTTGTAGTGTTGAACATCTTATATTCTTATATGATTAATAATATACTAGTATCTCTTCATACGTGTGCGTATTACTCTAGAACATATTATTTATTGTTAACTTTTTCTAAAAATAAGTAGAAATTATAAATAACAATAAGGCTCGATAATAATAAATAACAAAAATAATATGAAGAGCTACGAGCCAGAGATACAAAACAAAGAAGGTATATTTTAAAAAATTATAAATATAAAATTACAACAAACGTTTCGACGCCGATCGGGTCATTCTCAATGTTAAACAAAGTTTCAATATTAGAACTTTGCAAAAGTGCAAATCATATAAAATTTCAATAACTTAATACGTGTAAAAACTGATGTAAATACGCAATACTTACTGAAATGCTTGCAAAGATCTAATCATTCTTGTTAGTCCTTCCATATAATCCAAAAATCCATCGATAATGCTTGTGTTCTTGTAAGCGATGTCCATTCTTATAGAGATGTTGAGTCAGAAGTAAAAATCTCATAATAGTCGTAAAAGGCTATAGCCTTTTTACTTCTGACTCAACATCTTTATAAGAATGGACATCGCTGACAAGAACACAAGCATTATCGATGGATTTTTGGATTATATGGAAGGACTAACAAGAATGACTAGATCTTTGCAAGCATTTCAGTAAGTATTGCGTATTTACATCAGTTTTTACATGTGTTAAGTTATTGAAATTTTATATGATTTGCAGTTTGTAATGTTCTAATATTGAAACTTTATTTAACATTGAGAATGACCAGATCGGCGTCGAAACGTTTGTTGTAATTTTATATTTAGAATTTTTTTAAATATACTTTCTTTGTTTTGTATTTCTGGCTCCTAGCCCTTCATATTATTTTTGTTAATGTACAAATATTTTTAGCAGCTCTAGGCCACTGCTTTTTTGTAACTTGCGTATTATCAGCTTCAATCCATGATGAACCTTTTCTATATGTACTTATAAAATGATTATTTTCGATACATGAATCGTAATAAAATATAGCATTCATAACTTTATACGGCTGTTCAGCTATTAGTATTTCACTTGTTGGAAGAGCACATAAATTAATTTTTTGTGGTACCTTCACTAATGTTCCATTTTGGTATGAAAATAAAATTAAATGGATAATTATCTGTTTTGTCAATGTTATTTCATTTTTAAATAATATATCATTTCCTTCACAACGTTCACATAATTTATCATTTAATTTAGACCAATGTGAAAATGAAGTATTTAGTAAATCGATAAGATTAAAACTTTTCTTGTTCGAATTGTTAACAGAAATTGAGAAAACAAAATTATTATTAGTAGTAACTTTTGCATCACCACATGTTATGCATCGACAAGTAGAAATAATTTGATTTTCAACTAAATTTTCTATAAAATCATATTTAGTACAAAGAGCTACAACAAAATCAAATGCATCTCGTTTAATACCAGTCGAAAAATACTCCCCTAGATATTTTCGTGATCTGGCTGTTGAACGGAAGTTATTATTTTCGGTAATGTCCATGGCACATCTTTAATTTTACGATAACTCTTATGAAATAGTAATAATTTGTGCTTCTGATTTATGTAATCGTTTTAGCTGATTATATTCAATAATTGCTTCTTCTAGCTATTGTAGATGAAGGATCATAATTAATCAAATACGCATTAAGTAAGTTCATTTTCGTTACTAATTTTACTTTAATTTTATATTAAAATTAGAATTCTCTATGAAGACATTATGAACAGCAGCTTAATGGATAAACGCTTTACATATATGTTACACGTACGACTGAAAAATTTTGAAAAACTGGAATGGTCTCTTTTTGGAAAATGATCTTCGGTATTGGCTGCACCAATTTTATTCGGACTGGTCGCAATCGAAAGATACCGATGACATATAATAAAAGTGTTTTTAGATTTTTGATTGCGGCTTTAGTTTCTGAGTAATTTTAATCTAAAGTGTATAAAAATTTAAAAAGTGCCGCTTGACGTGTGAACGTCATTGCGCATATATTCATGCCGTTACCAAATTCGCGATTTTAGCCTCGCGAATTTGGTAACGGCATGAATATATACGCAATGACGTTCACATGTCAAGCGGCCTGTTTTATATTTTTATACACTTTTAATTTAAAAGTAACTTATTAAAGTATTAAAATAACTATATAGTGAAATGTCGATATAAACACACGGAGAAAATTTTATATTAAGTTTTAATACAATTTTTTAAATTACACTTTACTATCTATATGTATATGTCTTGTATTTTCGATGGACTTTCACAACATGATTCCGATTTAACTTTTACTATGGTAATAATAATTTTTATCACATAAATAAAGTAATTATTTTGTTAAGCCATATTCTAACATGAAAACAGTTAATTTTTACTATGGTACGCAAACAAAATTTGCTATATTTGATTTTGTAATAAAAAATTTTTACTATGAAAAAGTGTAAAAATTACGTTATAGTGGGTGCTTTCCAATTGCAATATCTTTAGATACTTTCGTACACACGGCTACACAACACTACACATCCGTACTCAGTCGAGAGCTGTGTAAGCTTGTGTTTTCTAGTGACAATTACATGTTACTAACTGTGGCGGCTATAAATGAGGTTATAAGACGTTGAGTGGCCGGCACTTTTACTTTTTTTTGTTTAATACAGGCAGAAAAAGCTACATTTAATCTAACTCCATCCGAAACGGATCTCAACCGTGCACAGCGTACACATTCTGTTTCAATTGAATCGTGCACAACGTTATACTTTGTGCATTCCTGTGTACGTTTGTGTTAAGTAACGTGTTAAGCAATTGGAAAGCACCCATTATTGTTTCTAAAAAAATAACTAGAGCATTTAAACTTATAATTTACATGAAGACCGCAGCTACTACCACATTATAGTAATTTTAAATATAAAATTTTCTCCGTGTAATACATTGCTAATGAAACTATAGATAAATAAATCGGTAAA